TGGTTCACGTAACTGCTGGTCGGTTACGACTTTCTTCACTATCAAGTCCATGCCGACTAATCCAATACCAGACTTGGACTGGTAATCGGACGAGAGGCCTGGTTTGCCATATGAACAAGCCATATTATCAGCTTTCTCCTCTCCCCTAGGATAAATATGTAAAATCCTATAAACCTCTTCTCTTGTGTCAATACTGATTTTGAAAAAAGTCTGCTACCGTAGTATACGTACCTGAGTATTTTCCCTTTACTGAACACCACATTGGCAAGTAAAGTTCTGGAGGTGGAGGCGCGGAGCATCAAAAAAATAAATAAAAACCCTATTCGGATCAGTCATAAATTTCAAGTTTTTCGCCTAACTACAAGTCCTCCGAAAAAAATCTGAAATATAGCCACTTAGCCAGTTGCATGAATTAAAATTTTACTCATTTTGTATTCACAGATGGTAAATTGGATGCAGAAGACCATTATTGCTCCAGCCTTGCTTTTTCGTTGCGAAGCCTAGATGAGAGAAGCAGGTCGTTTGTCAAATGCGAAATACAGAGAATTGTGCATGAGGCCAAATATGGGGATGTAGGCATGTAACATTACGTTTGGGGGCTATTTCACATTTTGTCTCAAAATAAATAAATGCTTTGGAAATGATGTTGCTTAATATTTGGGGAATCTGATGGCACGTTCTTTTTAGAAGCCTGTAGATCCCGCCCTGTAAAAACCCTGCAGGGCGAATGGGGGTAATACATGCTATGGTAATAATGGTACTCGTTTAGCATTACCCAATTTTAGGAAATACCCAATACTTCACTGTTACACAAGAACATTTTGCAATATTGTTTTTATTCAAAGGTACTATAAAAACTAGGAATACTGCCAAGACAGTGATCCAACAGGTGACACAAAATAGTCCGCAAAGTTCTCGCGTATATTCAGTGCCGCGGTAGAAGCATTGCACCCAGTTCGTGTCATGCCTTCCAGCCTTTGTGCGTCTGCTATGTTGTTAGCTTCACCTCCAATTCCATCTTTTCCCACTTGTAGATAATTATGTAAGCAACAAGCAGCCTTCACAATAATGTCTACTCTGTGAGGCAATACGGCAATTGGCCTTAGAAAAACACGAAAGCGTTGGGATAAAATACCAAACGCATTTTCAACAGTCCGTCTTGCTCTTGACAGCCTATAGTTAAAAACAGTTTTCTTGGTTGAAAGGCATTTTCCAGGATAAGGCCTCATCAGATGAATGCTGAGTGGAAAAGCGGCATCCGCCACAAAAACATGGGGGATAGGATTGTCATTTTGTCCAGGCAAAGGTTTTGGGTCCGGTATGCTTAAAGTATTATGCTTGATTGCATGTCCCAATTCAGAGTCTGCAAAAGTACCACCATCTGACTGTCTTCCATAACCCCCAACGCTGATGAGTATAAATTTGTAACTGTAAAAGAAGTGTTTGGGCTAATAAATTGGGTGATAAGTTATTCAAAATAATTTTAGTTTGTTAATTCAAATCTAGCTTAAAAATAATTCAATATGATAATGCATGATAGTTTTTTAGTGTGCACTCAATGCAATGCCACTTACACAAAATTTCTGCTATTACATACCACTTTCAGATGATGCGGAGGAATAGACATTATTTTTCGCAAAAAAAGTCAATTACGATCTTAACACATTTTTAGTATACTTACTCTGCATCTACAACGGCTAGCAACACAATGCTAAAAGCACCCTTGTAGTTGAAGTATTTCGAGCCTGAATTAGCCGGTGAGCGTATGACCACATGCTTCCCATCAATGGCACCCAAGCAATTTGGGAACTGCCATTTATTCCAAAAATTGTCACGAATAGATCTCCATTCTTTTTTACCGGGCACACTCATATGTAAAGGCTGAAGAACATCATACAGAGCTTTGCACGTGTCAGGAACAATTCCTGAAATTGTAGACCACCCGACTCTGTATGATGTTCCAATTGTGCGGTACGAGTCCCCAGTAGCAAGAAACCTGTGGAAAAATACACAGTTTTATAACGGTAACAACTAGAAATATACCTGAATATGTACTGACTAGGATTAGACTTGCACAATGAGATGATTAAGTAACTCTACATTCAGCACAGTCTTAATCTTATTACTTATCGATCTTAAGATCGGTAAGTATTTGTCTGTCTGTCTGTTAGATTTACGCGATATCTCACGAACGCGAGGTTGAATCTGCTACAAATTTTGCATGCGCATTCGGCATTGCTCGGATCAGAAGCCTATAGATTTTGGATGAATTATGTCGTATAATTAGCGAGTTATTAATTAATTACCAATCTTGGATCGATAAGTCTTCGGTCTCCGACCGATATCTCGTTTAAAATAGTAAAAAGTAAACGAGAATATCGGTCGGAGACCGAAGACTTATCGATCTTAGATCGGTAATTCATTAATAACTCGCTAATTATACGACATAATTCATCCAAAATTTATACTCTTCTGGTCCGAGATATAATGCATGCACATGCAATTTGGAGCAGATTCAACCTCGCGTTCATCTAACAGACAGACAAATACCTATCAACATACTTACCGATCTTAAGATCGATAAGTAACAAAATGGCAACGACACTGGAGTACGAGTACAGACATTTTGAACTGTAATGCATAAACTTTGCTTAGGCAATATCCAATATGAAAAGTTTACCAACACCAACACTGCCTACGCTAGATAAAATGCTCCTGGAATAGATCTTGAAAAAAATAAAATTATATGATTTTCTAGTTCTGTAAAATAATGATCTTGCCTCAATGTTATTGCTAGCCTTTGCTCGGCTGATATCGCTTTCCTCCAGTTTGTATCTAGCCTGGCGATCTTTGGGCCTATAAGTCGGGCAAGCTCCCTAAACTTTTCTGGAGACAATCTAAAGTACTGGAAGAAATAAGACTCTCTCTCCAACTCTAGCTCTTTCACGAGTCTGCTGAATTCGCCTGTTAAATGAAATATTGTTACTGCAGTACTGGTATACAGACTTTAAAATGAAGAGTGAGAGGCTATTACTGTATTACCGTATTTTGCCAGCCCTGTACGTACCGGTACTGACTAAAACAACTTACCTAACTCATTTCTTCTCTGTAGTATGGGATGGACCCAGTAAAGCCTTTTACGGCGCCTACGTTTTTGCCGCAGCAGATATAACAGCGAAATCTTCTGTTTGTTACTCATGGATGCTTTCATATTTCTCAACTGTCGATACTGGTACTGGAACCCAACGGCAATCCAGGTAAACGCAAGGCAGCGAGGTCGAATCAAAAGCGAGGCCACTGTTCAAACAGAGAACGACAACTCGTCGATGTGTGGTCAGGCACTTCGACGAAATTGCTTCTTGCGCGAGTTTGTCGATTTGACAAATCGAAATTCCGTTCGCACGCTCACAGTGTGAACACCCTTCAATTGTTTTTGTTATCAATTTGGGCGGCGTCGGAGAGGTCGGAATGGTCGGTGTGTGTGTGAGTTGGCCTTTACTCACGTTTGATTCGAGATTACTATTAGGATTGCTGGAATAAAAGGATTCACTATTCTAAAATAACATAAAATACCTGGTAAACTGCCAACTATAAATAAATTGGGTCGTATTTTTGCGATCTTGGGATTTTTCAAACTTGATTTGTTTTTTCGCACTCGAGATTATTTTTAAGCAAGATATCGCCGTTTAAAAAATCACGGCAAGGTGTCGGCAAAATACGAACGATTAAAATGAATTTATTGCATGCGGCTCCGTGGGTAGCTTCAGAATGAAAAAAAGGTACATCGCGCGCACAATTGACTGTGTTTCGATTTCACAGTTACTACGATGAATAAGCAAAGAAAACCTTTTGTGATTTCCAATGCCTATAAAAGCGTTTTTAATCTGACGTGAGACTGCCGAAACCAAACTTATAGTGTGATCTTCCATTTTAGGTTTTAATATTTCAGAATGCCGTTTTTCAATCAAGAAATTTGAGTTGCGGATTTACCTCTTTAGTAATAATTATTATTTTTAGCATTTCGTCGCCGATGACTATAATATGGTAACATGTTTTCACATTGAACTCATCATTCCCCACGAGAACAAAAAAGCAATTATCGTCGTCATGTGATGTTTGTCAAGTGTCAAATTTACAGCTTTAGTATACATAATTTATCTTTGAATTTTTTATTACTTGTATTAACCCTATTAAAAAAAGTTATTACGTACTTTTACCTTTACTTAGGAATATTAATGAAAAAATAACAATTTTAACATTTCTTTTGGGGCTCCGTGAATAATAGTTAACCTTTTCAAGGGCTCCGCAACACCAAAAGTTTGAGAACCCCTGGGCTAGGCAGGCTGAAACCCAGAGCCTCGAAATTCGGTTTCGAAGTTTGTAATTCTTTTGACAAGTTTGAACCCTACGAAAAGTATATATATATCAAGCTTTTCAGAGTAGAAAATTCTGTACAAAACTGGTTTCAACCACATTGTAAACAGCCATTATTGCGTCGTTTGCATCATAATAAGGAAAATTATAGAAGTTTCTATGTTAAAGTATGGCTGTAGCGGTTGTTTGATCAAAGAAATTGAAAGAAAAACTGCCTCAAGTAAATTTTTATTCTTTCAATTAAAAATTCACACCCATGAATGGGGAGAATGAAAAGTTTAATGCACTCGTATTCTTAAATTTTAAGCAATGACATGTGGCATAGTTTAGAGAGAAATTCTGAGCTCAAAAATATGAAGGGGCCTCTCATGGTCTAAATTCAGCCCTGGAAATCACCAATTTTGGGATAGGTACATGGTGTTGAAGCGAACTAACTTCTTTCTAACAAGAAAAAGACTTTCAACTATCTTGATGTTTAATCCATAACAAAGCAATGTTAACGACAAGCGAACAGAAAACAGAATGACAAGTTATCGTAAGAAAAGCACGTAAGTAATCATGCGTGACAAAAACATAAACAAAACAATTGTGACTCATAACGGCTATTAGTTAATTGGTTCGCCACACTACCCCCCGGTTGTAGGTTCGGATGAACGATCGTCTGTAGAACGCTGATTGTTCGTTGTTGTTTTAGGGATTGGAGGACGTCCTCTTGGTTTAGGAATGGATACAGAAACAGGATGGTCGAGATCAAGATGAGCTGGCTTTAACCTGTCAACAGAAATAGTTTCGCTTCGGTTTCCAATCTGTACTTTGAAAGTTTTATTCCCATGTTGCAAAACTTCGAATGGTCCTTCATAAGGTCTTTGTAAAGGAGATCGGTGTGCGTCACGACGAATAAACACGAACTTGGCTTGATTGAGTGCGGCTGGCATTCTTGCTCTGAAAGGACCATGGTGCGACGAAGGAATTGGAGCCAATGATCCTACTCTTTCTCTGAGAAGCCGAAGATTTGTGGTCGGGCAGCTATTGTCTTTAGAGTCTGATATGAAATCACCGGGGACAGTGAGGGGAGCGCCATAAACAAGCTCAGCTGACGATGCCGTAAGATCTTCTTTCGGAGCTGTGCGGATTCCCAATAAAACCCATGGAAGCACGTCCAACCAGTTTGAATCATTGAGTTGTGCCTTGATGGCAGATTTCATTGTTCGATGAAAACGTTCTACCAAACTATTTGCCTGTGGGTGGTAGGCTGTAGTGTGATGAATTTTTGTTCCCAATAATTCGGCAACAGCAGACCAAAGGCCTGAAATGAACTGTGATCCTCGGTCAGAAGAAATGTGAAGTGGAACACCAAAACGGGCAACCCAATTTGACAGGAAAGCTCGGGCACAAGACATAGTTGATATGTCTTTGAGGGGAATGGCTTCTGGCCACCTTGTGAAACGATCTACTATTGTAAGAAGGTAATTGTATCCTTGTGATGGTGGTAAAGGTCAAAACGTTTGTCTGGCATTTTGAAATCTTGAAGGGGCCCGTATATGACGATTTATTTTAGACTTTTGGCATTCCAGGCATGTTTTGGCCCATTGTCCAATTTGTTTGGAAAGACCATGCCACACAAATTTTTGTGAGATCAGTTTGCGAGTGGTACGTATGCCTGGATGCGAGAGCCCGTGAACCGCATCAAAAATTTTTCTGCGCCAGCTGGCAGGCACTATAGGTCGTGGTCTACCCGTAGATACGTCACACAGCAATGTAAATTTGCCGTTGCAAAAAGGGACATCTTCGACACGAAGGCCGGTGATAGCAGTGCGGTAAGCCTGTGTATCCTTGTCGTTTAGTTGATCTGTGGCCATAATTTCATAATCGATGCCGTCATTGATGTCGTTGATGACCGCGCGCGACAGGGCGTCGGCGACAGTATTATCCTTACCGGAAATATGTTTTATATCTGTTGTGTATTCAGATATGAAATTGAGGTGACGCTGTTGTCGCGCTGACCATGGCTCAGAGACTTTTGATATAGCAAAAGTGAGGGGTTTGTGATCTGTAAAAATCGTGAAGGGTCGTGCTTAGAGAAAATAACGAAAATGTCGTATTCCTAAGTAAACGGCCAAAAGTTCCTTGTCGAATGCACTGTATTTCGTCTCGGGTTTGCGTAGCTGTCTACTATAAAAAGCAATTGGCTTCCAAGATCCATTTAACTTTTGCTCGAGAACACCTCTTAAGGCAACGTCCCAAGCGTCGACTGCGAGGGCAGTTGTTGCGTTTGGTTGTGGATGTGTAAGCATAACTGCATTTGCCAGTGCTTTCTTAGTTTTTTCAAATGCACATATCATACTGTCAGTCCATTCGGGCAAAACCTTCGACTTCTTAGGCAGGCCGGAAAGTGCTGCGAATAGTGGTTGCATTATTTGGGCAGCTTTGGGCAAAAACCGATGATAGAAATTAACCATGCCAAGAAACTCTTGAAGGCTTTTTACAGATGAAGGGCGAGGGAAAGTAGTTCTCGCCTTCACTTTATTGGGGAGAGGAAAAGCACCCTCTTTTGTAACAGTATGTCCCAGGAACTCTAATTCGCTTAAACCGAATTTACATTTGGCAGGATTGATAACCATACCGTGGCTTTTTAGCCTTTGGAAAATGTTTCGCAAGTCCTTTTTCTGTTGATCTTTAGACGTACTGGCGATCAGGATGTCGTCAAGATAAACAAATACGAAAGGCAAACCTCGACAGATGGTATCCATTAAACGCTGGAATACCTGGGAGGCGTTTTTAAGCCCAAACGGCATGCGGAGAAATTCAAATAGGCCAAATGGTGTGATAATGGCAGTTTTGGGGATATCTTGTTCATGAATAGGTATTTGATGATAACCGCGAACAAGATCCACTTTAATGAAAAAATTGTCCTTCCCGCAAGACGGGCCGTAAAATCTTGTATGTTTGGGACTGGGTAGCGGTCAGGCACGGTCATATCATTGAGACGTCTGTAGTCTCCACATGGGCGCCACCCGCCGTCCTGTTTAGGTACGATGTGAAGCGCAGACGCCCAGGGGCTATTTGAGGGTCGGATGATTCTGAGTTCAATCATGTTATCAAACTCTGCCTTTGCCGCGGCTAGCTTATCGGGGTGCAATCTTCGAGCCTTTGCGTGCACCGGGGGGCCTTCTGTAACAATATGATGCTTTACCCCGTGTGCAGTGGTCGGGTTGCTGAATGTGGGGCGCGTTAAATCAGGAAATTCGTTCAGAATTTTGGCAAAATCGTTTTCGGCTACGTAGTGAAGGCAAGGCGGGGTGCCAGTAATCGTTCTGGTTGGAATACAAGCATATGTGCTTGCCTCGATAAGTCGTTTGCCCCTGATGTCAACCAAAAGTCCGTGAGAGCGCAAAAAATCTCCCCCGATAATTGCCCGTGAAACATTGGCTAATGTGAATTTCCAGGTAAAATTTCTACCGCATATAGTCAAAGGCACTTTTCGTGTGCCATATGTCGTAATTGAGGTGTCATTAGCTGCCAAAAGTGCTTGTCCTGGTCGCCCGTAACGACGGTCATGACCGGTGGCAGGCAGCACGCTGACTTGTGCACCCGTATCAACTAAAAAACTGCGTCCAGAGTTTTTGTCTGTGACGTAATAAAGGTTTGAATCGCCGACCGCCAAAGAGGTTACTGACGGTCGGCTATGGCGTGTTCCGAAACCACAAAAGAACATGACAGGCGACATTTTTTGGCTTTCTTGCCGAATTTCCTGTGATAAAAACACATTTCAGACAAAACATGAGATGGTTTGAACGAACTGGTTTTTTGTACAGCGTTTGTCACCTCATAGCCTTTTGCAGTTAAAATATCACCTGCTTTCCTTGCCAGCTTCCGAAAATCGTCGCCCGTGGTTGTTAAAATGTCTGTAAGTTGAGACCGGACGTCTGGTGGCAGATGACTGACGAACAAATGGCGAAATAAGAAATCAGGTGTCTTACCTACTGGATACAATGCAAGCATGTTGTCCATAAGTTCCGTTGCCGTTCCACCCCCTAGTCCAGGCATTGAACAAAGACGCGCATTTAGTAGTGAGCTTCTCTTTGAGATCTTGGTACTTGTTCGTTTCCGGCGGGTTATTGAGAACATTAAGAATGCTGGCAGCGGTATTTTCATCCAGAGCGGCAACCACGTAGTGGTATTTTGTTTCATCTGTTGTGATATTTCGAACAGCGAACTGCGCTTCGACTTGGTGGAACCAAACGGCAGGATTTTTAGTCCAGAAAATCGGCAGCTTTAATGATACCGCTGTTAGACCTACTTTGTTGTCTTCACTCATATTCTTCGTTATGCGCGTATCCTTTTCTCAAAAGTATGCTTTTGAGGTCGGGGTCACCATTTGAAGCGAACTAACTTCTTTCTAACAAGAAAAAGACTTTCAACTATGTTGATGTTTAATCCATAACAAAGCAATGTTAACGACAAGCGAACAGAAAACAGAATGACAAGTTATCGTAAGAAAAGCACGTAAGTAATCATGCGTGACAAAAACATAAACAAAACAATTGTGACTCATAACGGCTATTAGTTAAGTGGTTCGCCACAGTGTTAACATATGAACTGAGTTAGGCCATTGGATTTTGAAAGGTGAACCAGGAATGTACATAGTTACATGGAATTCATGAAATATATAACATCCAATAAAAACCAAAATAGGTCTTTCGTTGAACGCCAGTTGTGGTCCCGGTACCGGTATTCCAGTATTCTGTTATCACAAGCAGTTGGAGCGCATATTCCACAGAGCACAGCGCGTTGGCAGAATCTCATGGTCTAGTGAGAATGACGTCATCGGAAACACCGCGCTCAATAAAATTTCAATGAACGATTTATCAAAAATCTTGACCATGTTTATCATGATGAAAGTATTAAAAAGATGTGAAAAATATTCTATTCTCAAAACTGCTTATGTATACAATGGAAGATATCTAGAAAATTACAAAAAATGCAAATAACTGCTCTGGTGATCACATTCCCCATAAGAGCTAATGTTAAAATTGTTTTTTTTTTACATCACTTTTCTTTTTGCGCGTAGGATGGGTTTTTAATGAATAAGGTCTATTCGCTATTGGGACACTGTGGCGTCATAGGCAAAGATAACAAATTGAAGTTACAGGGTTCCCGTTTTGCGGCCACCATTCAAAATTAGCACTTCTCGGCGGGTTGACTAAATTTTCCTAGTGGGGCGCATTTAACCCGCAGGTTGCTCACCCCATGATTTTTTTTTTTTTTTTTTTTTTTTTTTTTTTTATTAATAAAAACATCACATCATCACAACACATTTATATAGACACAATAGCATAAATACAATTGCATTTTAAAAAAACGAGCACACAATAGTTTTCCACTTCTTATTATGGATTGACAGTTTACCATTTTTAGTTGCAATAATCTTTTCACAGTTTATAATATTTTTTATCATATATAAAAATTGGCAAAATTGAGGCCTTTCATTACGCAGTTTACATTTGTATATAAAATATCTGGCACATAATAAAACACAGTTTATACCCTGATTTTGCCCTACCCCCAATAACATTTCTCTATGTGTCAAATTGAAGTTTAATCCATACTCAACGGTTAGCCAAGCGTTAACTATTTCCCAAAATTGCTGCACAAATTCACAGAGATAAAATAAATGTAACACGGTTTCAACATGCATATTACAAAATGTACATTTTGGACTTTGTGTTTTATTTATTCTATATAGCAGGTCATTAGTGGGTACTGCTCGCAAGGCAAATTTGACATGGAATGAACGAAGTCTGGATTCAATAGAGCAATAAAAAACTTTTTCATACAATGTAAACCAATTATCTAAGTTCCTGCACAATTCTTTTGACCATTTTTCTATTTTTTCAGTTGGCGGCAAAATTTTTTCATTACAAAGCTTATCATAAATATATCGAGACGTTTTATCAATGCTTTTAATATCTTCGATAAGACTAAGATGTGGATTGACTGGTGAGGTTTTTGATAAATTAGTTTTCCATTGCTGGGGTATACATGATATAATTTTTAAATACGCTAGCATGTCATCATAAAAACTAGAAAAACAATAATGATGAAAAACATACGGAAACATTGCAAGTTGCTGATTAGAATCACAAATATCTTCAACGAAACAAATATTTTTACTATTCCAATCATCCATATATAAAAGTTTTCCTTTGCAAGTTATATTTTTATTAAACCATAAAGGTTCATGTAAATGACTTACATCCCTAATAATCTTGGATTTTGAAAAATAAACCAATAGTACAGAGTATCTCTCAAACATCTGGAATACATATTTTTGATATACACTCCATGCGGATATACATTTCCATAAAATAAAGCCTTTCCTCCATACAAATTCAAGAAA